GACTTTAGGGGGATCTTTATCTGAAGCTGAAGGCTGATGTGTAGTAGCTTCTGGATTTGTTGGGTATTTTTCGTCCCATCTGGCAGACGTTCATGTGAAGTGAAAATTGATTCTTGGCTAAGCGGTCGGTAGAGCACTTAATTTTACAAAGCTTATTTATTTACTTATCATTTAGCTTACTGAGTCAGTCCACTAAAATTATCTCTAGCGTGGAGATTTTTCAGCCCAATCAATTCATGTGAACATTAATTTAATTTGACCCGACTAATTGTTTGTTGTTCTCGAGGCAGCAGATCTGATACAGATGCACTTTTTACATCTGAATTGCAAATTAGCAAATCATTTGACTTTAAAAGCTGGATTGGGGTTGCGTTTGGCAGGTTTCTCCCTGCAGACATGTACAGTATATATTTATAAAAATGTATTTACTAGGAAATGATATATTAGAGCTTTTTACATTTTATACAGAAATACCATTTCTGTATTTTCTGTAGCAGATACAGGGATGTGATTAAACATCTGAATATGAAGCAGAAGCTTAGGCTGGCGCGGGCACAGCTGATTTTATTGGTTATGTTGTCCTTGAACTGTTGGCAGCAGACAGGGACATTTTTTTTTCTTCCATAAATACCCTCAAATTTTGGGATTTGACGTCACGTCTGTTTACTCATTTAGTTTGCCATGTCAGCCCCACCTGTCTTTATTCTAATCTAGGGTTTTCATTTCTTCCATGTTCCGCGTTTTACCTAGCAGGAACGCTGCTTGCGTTAGGCAAGGCTCCTGGAATCACAAAGAGCGCCATGTGTTGATGTGAAGTTAGCTGGGATGTCTAGTTTTTTGTTCTGTTTTTCCAAAGTGTGTCTTTTAAAACAGTAAGTGCGTAGTGCTGCTTGATCAGGTTCAGCGCTTTGTAGAATCAGCATGAATCCACTGAAGATGATAAGGATGAATGAATGTTTGAAAGGTATGAGGCTGTTGATACGCGATGACCGAATGTCACCTGTCTTGTTTGATATGATGATGTTTTCTGACCATTTTCTCTATTTCTTTTGTCACAGGTTTGAGGTTTTTAAGGGCCTTAAGGTTGATACAGTTCTCAGAAATTTTACAGTTTTTGAATATACTAAAGACGAGGTAAGTTTGTTTAAATGGACAGTTGTTTATGTTCATGTAGCAGTCTGTAAGAAATGTCTTTTTAATCTGAAATTATAAGCAAATGTTTAATTTTCCACCAGGAATAAATGTATCTTTTGTGAGCTTTCAATACCATTAGTCTTGATTTTAAAGTGTATTTGTCAATATTGCTTTTTG